AGCTCATAACACATTTCTCGTGGCTCCCTGTGGACTCTGCAGTGGGAAGCTTTGCACGTGTGCTGCAGGGCACTGGCATGGCTTGCCTGGCTCACATCAGAGCCTGGAACAACAGCAGGGTGGGGATGCACTGCCCAGAGCCAGCCAGTTTCTGATTCAGCAGGCGGTCTTTCTATTCAAAGACAGAGATGCTTCGTGGCTGTGCAGCTCCAGCCTTGCTCCAGTGTGCAGTTTAGCTGGATTTGGGAGGGGTGGTGCATCCAGCAGCTCTGGCATGGGGCAGTGCTGGATTAACACATTGTCCATGTTACCTGGAAAGGGGTTGAGTCACCAGGGCAAGTTTCCAAACACTGGGGAGAATAGCAGCAGCTTTCCCTCCCAGATTAGGGAGTATGGCAGTGTTCATTTCAGGCTGGATAAAGCCTTGAGCAACCTGCTCTGGTGGGAGGTGTCCCTGGCCAGGGCAGGAGGTTGGGGCTGGATGACCTCTAAGCTCCATTCTAACCCCTTAACATACTATAAAACTATGAATTAGCAGAAGACAGGGAAAAGGGGTTTTGTTTTGAGTGCCTTGTAGTACAAACTACTAATCTCCCAATTAGCCATTCTGCATCTGTGGTGTTTGTAGACAGAGGGGACAAACCACTGAAATCCTCTCAGAGTCACTTAAGGCTGACACAAATCAAGTAGGACAGTAGGTAGATCCTTAAAACCCTAAGGGGCAGAGAGCAGTGTGTCAGGAGAGCTGAGAAGTCACAACAGCCAGAGAGAAAACTCTGCAAAGCCAACACTGAACAACCACCTGAAATGAGCTCAAGGTGCTGCTGGGTTGGGGCATCCTTCATTCTGAGGCTTTATTTATCTGGTTGTTGGAACCAGTTGGGTGTTTTAGAGAGGGAGATTCATGTTTAGGGTTGAAGGGAACTGTTGTGTCCTAAACTGGATGGATCCTGCAGGAACTGGGTGCAGATCTGGGCAAAGTGCTGTCCCACAGACCTTGTTGTGTGTGTCTGATCTCCAGTAATGACTAACACACTGTGCACAGGATCATCTGTTCACCCACAAGGAATGTGTTTACCATGTGGATGTACTTCTGCAAGAAACAAGTGACTCTAATATTGCCAAGGATAGTTTAAAGGAGAGCAGGGATAGGGAACACTCCCCAGCAAGTGTGTTGTTCCAGCTCAGGCCTTGTCATCTCTCTGGAGTTTATGGCCAGCCCAAGGAGTGTAACTGTGTGTTTCCATTTGTCAGGTCGTGTTGACAAGGAAGGGACTGAAGGAGACGAAAAGAAACCCAAGGTAAGCTGGAAAACAAACCCAGAGGTGACACCTGTGTGTGTTCCTGACTCCCTCTCCTGCTCTCCTGGCCTGCAGTTGTCTCTCTTAGGAAACCTTCCCATTACCTTCCATTCTTCCATTTGTTTTTCAACACAGTTTTAATTTTTTTTTTCTTCCCTGGTTTGGATGGTGCAATCTGTGGGGATCTTTGAGGATGAGGAAATTATCCAAATCGAAATCAAACTTGTGGCTCGTGGGGTTAGGTGGGTGGAGAAATCATTTTCTCAGCCCAAGGCTGGAAAGCAGCAGCTGGTTTTGGGCAGGCTCAAAACTCTACTGGGCACAAGCAGCATGGCAGTGAAAAGAGCAAAACATGTTATTTAAACATTAAATTAAACAATCCAGGCCTTGCAGATCATAGAATATCTTGAGTGGGAAGGGATCCACAAGGATCATTGAGTCCTACTCCTGGCTCTGCACAGGACAACCCCCCAAAAAAATAGATGCTGTGTTGTGTTCTGGGTGAGGAACAGAGTTTAGCAGTGGGTGAATTCCAGAGGTTTACAGATATCTGTCACACTGGTAATTTGGAGGAGGTTTAATTCAGCTGGTTAGTGCCTGACTGAGAGAATGGACAAGAATTAAAGGTTGAGGAATAGAATTATTTTCAGACAATGTGAAATTGGGCTCTGTTCTGGGCAGGTTGGCACTGAACATGGTACCAAGCCCAAGTAAATCCAGTGATGTGTTACTGAGCAGGTGTGATGTGCTGAGAGACCTGGCAGCACTCACCTGCATCTCCCAGAAATGGTGGTGGTGGTTCCTTTGCCAAGAAGGAGGAGAGTTTGGGAGTAAGTGGAGCAGTTCTGCTGGTGCCCTGTGCCATGGTGTGGAGGGCAGAAGCAAGGGCAGGTTGGCACAGAGTGAACTCTCCCTGGGAAGGGGTTTGGGTGTTGCTGTACCCTGTGGAAGGAATAGTTGGGGCATCCCATACTTGCTGGATTAGCTATGAGACCCTTGTAACACCTAACCCACCCCCAAATTCCTGATTGCACCTTCTAATCCTGTTGAATGTCGCTGCTCCCGTTTTGTTTCCCTCCCATACTGATTTTCGTTGTTCCCGTTTTGTTTTGTTGCCATGTTTAAGAAGTCCTCACCTTGCACTGCCAAACCCTGGGGTGATAGACCCTCCATCCCCCCCCAACGACACACCTCCTCTAGCACAGCCCCTTCGAAACCACCCTCCAGCCCTGCCTCCAAACGAGCCTCTCCTGCCTCATCCCGACCTGCAGCAGCACAGGAATTGAGAGCCAAGGTAAGGAAACCATGTGAGACAGGCAAAGGGGAACACCTAAAAAAAAGGGGCTTGGCTGAGCCTCTCCCTGTCCCATGGAGAGTGTGGGATGTGCTCTCCCCTTCACCTTGTGGCTGTGGTTAGACTTGACTGCAGTTTTGGTGTTGGAAGGAACCAGCACATAGAGCAAAAATAGCTCTTTGCTGCAGGGTCTCCCCGAGGCATTTCCAGGTCCCTTTATGGCCTTGCTTGTTTTGCAGCTTTACCTGTGTTTCAGGGGAGTGTTGGCTGTAAACAGCAGATGTGTTTGGAATGTGGTGCAGATCCACCAGGTGCTGCACAGGGAGCAGGAAAGACACACACATCCCTGTCTTACCCTGCAGTGTGAACAGAACCTGGGAGCTTTGTCCCTCTGGGGTGTTTAGTCACACAAATACACCCATGGAGAGGGAAAGCACAGGGATTGCAGGTCACACCGAGTCATAGGATCATGGAGTGGTTTGGGTTGGAAGGGATGTTAAAGCTCCTCCATGGGCAGGGACACCTTTTACTAGCCCAGGTTGCTCCAAGCCCTGTCCAACCTGGCCTGGAACACTCCCAGGGTTGGGACAGACACAGTTTCTCTGGGTAGGTGGGGGTTGGTCTCTTCTCCCAGGCAACCAGCAGCAGGACAAGAGGGCACAGACTCAAGCTCTGCCAGGGGAGGGTTAGGTTGGATATTAGGAAGAGATTTTTTTAGGGAGAGAGTGCTCAGACATTGCAATGTGCTGCCCAGGGAGGTGGTGGATTCACCATCCCTGGAGGTTTTCAAGCTGAGACTGGATGTGGCACTTAGTGCCATGATCTAGTAACCACAGTAGGGTTGGACTGGATGATCTTTGAGGTCTCTTCCAACCCAGTTGATTCTGTGATTCTATGATTCTGTGCTCACAGGGGTGGGGAACACACGGGAGCTGCCGGAGCAGGAAGCAGCAGGGTCTGTGACCCATGACAGATGGATGGGTGACAGCCCATCCCTGACAGGTCCTGCTGCATCAGCCTGTGCCCTTGTCCCCCCAGGGCCCGGGAGGTGCCAAGACGGGCACGGCGCGCGCAGGGCAGGCGCAGAGGAACTCCACCAACGCCACGCGCATCCCGGCAAAGACCCCCACGACCCCCAAGACCCCTCCCAGCTCCGGTAGGTGGTGGTGGGAGCCATGTCCTGCTGCCAGCCCATGGTGCTCAGGACTGCAGTGGTGCTCCCAGGCAGTTCTGGGGGGGTTCATGCCCAAACTCCCAGCCCTGAGCAAGGGCAGAGCAGCAGGGGGAGGTCTGCGAGGGGATGTGGAGCTGCTCTGGGCTGGGTGGGGATGGTCCCTCTGGAGTGAACCTTTCTGGGTGCTGCCTCATCTCCTCTGTTCATACCAGTGTGTAGGAGAGGGCAGTTGCTTTATCCTTTTGGGATTTCCTCCAATTTGGAAGATTTAGTCAGCTCCTTTTTTTTTTTTTTTTTTTAATCCATCTATTCCTTCTCCCTGACAACGTTGCACAAAGACCAGGAGCAAAAGGATCAATTCTTCGATTGCAGGGATGGAGATTAGCCCATTCTGCTCAGAGGAGAAAAGCCCAGAAAGCATCAGGCACTGTGAATGGTGCATTTGACTGAACATATGTATATATATTTTCAGACTTAACCAGAGCCGCATAAAACCTTGAAGTCAATTAATTTTCCAGCTTGATGATGTTTAAGCATCTTTCTCATTCACTAAACAGGCAGAAAGGAGCAGAAAAAACCACCTCCTGCAGCAGCAAAGACTGAGAAAGGTGATGTTTAAAGGCTTTGTTTTTCTTCTTTCATTTCCTTTTCCAAGTGGGGACAGTTCTGAGCTGCCCTAGTTAATTAGAGGAAACAGCTTGGTTAAAATGCTTCCAAATTCTAAATTAGGGATTTTTTTCCTAATAGAAAAGTGGGTTTGAGTGTCTTTTGTCTGTAATTTGTCATGCATGCCAACTCCACGATTGGGTGGGGAGTGTCCCAAGCAGTGAAGACCATTTCCTTCTGATCTGTTAAGCCTTTAAATCAGTTTTCACCTCAAAATGAAAGAGGAGAAAAGTTCACCCCTTAACTGAGAGTAGTGGGGTGGGCTCTGGGACCCAGAAAAGTAGAAAGAGTGGGAGCTGAGGCATCTGTGTGTTAC